CCAAGTTCCTGTTTATCAATTCTCAAGGCTCATTTCGCAAGCCTATTTCGTAACACAGGCGTCCTCTTGTTGCCTCTTTTCTTTTTATATATATCCTTGACTACTTGCTTATACTAAAAACCCTTAAGTTTTTATTGTATGTATTTTCAACTACTAAGACTCTGAATAAAATTTCCTCAAAAATTTTCAAGTTGCTTCTTATGGAAGAAATATATTTGAAAATATTTTGTTGCTCTACCACACAGCAACAACAGTGTGAAAGTTAAAATACATTTAAATTCAGAACTGCTAAAAATTAATACCAAAAACATTTAAAGAATGAAAGATACCCTTAAGGTAAATCAGTTTGTGTATTAAAAAAATTTATTCTATGAAAACTGTATTAGTAGTATTTTATTAGCTCAATAGTTAAGATTGAACCATTGCATTAATTTTAAATAATTAGTAACTTTTAAATATTTAATGAAATACATAAGTAGATTTGGTTCTGGATCCTAACACATCTCCATACAAATGAAAACATTATATTTTGGTTTATAAAATGTATGAATTCATTATTTAGACTAGTTGATTTAGAAATATTTTTCACTTTTCTTTTGTTGTGTTTCAGACATTCTGTGAAGACCTTGGCAAGGACCAGTTGTGTAAAATAATGGAAGACATCATGTCTGTGTATGATGCAGAATTACGAGAGAGTTAGAAGTGAAAACAGTAATGTATATGTCTATTTTTGTTTTAATGAAGTTTATTGATGCAGAATTACGTGACAGTTAGAAGTGAAAACATTAATGTATATGTCTGTTTTGTTTTAATGAAGTTTATTGATGCAGAATTACGTGACAGTTAGAAGTGAAAACATTAATGTATATGTCTATTTTTGTTTTAATGAAGTTTATTGATGCAGAATTACGTGACAGTTAGAAGTGAAAACATTAATGTATATGTCTGTTTTTGTTTTAATGAAGTTTATTGATGCAGAATTACGTGACAGTTAGAAGTGAAAACATTAATGTATATGTCTGTTTTTGTTTTAATGAAGTTTATTGATGCAGAATTACGTGACAGTTAGAAGTGAAAACATTAGTGTATATGTCTATTTTTGTTTTAATGAAGTTTATTATACTGCTTTAGCTTAAAATCCGTGTTTGATTTATAAGACCAAAAACAACAAAAATAAAACCTTAATTATTTATTACCAAGTATACAAATTTCCAGTAAAAAGTCTACATGCATTTCAATTCTACTTTGTTTTTTCTACAGTTCTGTCTCCAGAGCTTTTCCTCGATACCAAACTTATCCAGCAGGCTGGATCACGACAACAAAATCTTGATTGAAATGTTATTCATATCAGTCTTTTTTAGTAGTAGAATAGCTGATGTGGTTGAAAAGGTAATAAACAAATCCAGATCAATCATTTCATTGTTGAATAATTTATAAATTATTTCACTAAAAAAATATTATACATGGATTTAAACTAGATCCAAATAGCTCATTCCCTAGGAAATTATTTCTGTTAACCTTATTTTTATGGGTTTGAACCCATTTGGTTACTTCTATTGAGAACAATACACAGTTCAACAATACTTACAATAACTCAGCTTTCTTCACAACAATTAATAAGATTTTGTTAAAGATGACAAATATTTCCTACAAAAAGAATGAAGTTATCTTAATTACTGATTCGTTATTTTTGTATTGTAGTTATTTGCACCCAGACTGAATATTTTGAGTATTATCATCAATGTATTGTGCAATGAAATATTTAAAATTAAAAATAGAAATAATGTACATATCTTTTAATTTTTCATCAACTAATCGTAAAATTTTCTTTCAGTTTTTACTTTTGCACATGTAGTTTATTTTTTATGTTTTATTTTCCTTTCCTGTCCTTTAGCATTATTACTTATTGGGCAATATTTAGGATATCCAGACAAACAAACATGTCAGAATGTTGGGACATTCACCTACTACACTTAGCCTGATGAACCGAGGCTGTTTGGCTTATATATAAAAAAATTAAACCTTTCTAATATGCATTTTAAAACATAAATAACACATCATTAACTAAAATATAAAACCTAAATACAACTTAATTGTCTATCTAACTAACATTTATAGGTAAGGAAATGGTAAAGTGCTAGCGAGGACAACAATGTTAAGAGTGGTTTCACAAGTTCTCTATGAAATTCTTTACACAATTTCAAAATAACTATTGAGAGATTGTATTTTAAAATGTGGTATTTCTATTAGTCATAAACATCTAGCTTAACTAAGTATAACTGGCTGAGAAATCATGTCTATTTACAGAAAGTGGGTGGGGCATCTGTCAAGAGTACCAAGAAATTTATTTTCTCCAAACATGCCCTAAGGATCTGGAAAGAAGAATGTGTAAACAGATCAATTAACCTACATTCTATCTCTACATTGTGTAAACAGATCAATTAACCTACATTCTATCTCTACATTGTGTAAACAGATCAATTAACCTACATTCTATCTCTACATTGTGTAAACAGATCAATTAACCTACATTCTATCTCTACATTGTGTAAACAGATCCACTTAACCTACATTCTATCTCTACATTGTGTAAACAGATAAATTAACCTACATTCCATCTCTACATTGTATAAACAGATAAATTAACCTACATTCTATCTCTACATTGTATAAACAGATCAATTAACCAACATTCTGTCTCTACATTGTGTAAACAGATCAATTAACTTAAATTCTATCTCTACATTGTGTAAACAGATCAATTAACCCACATTCTGTCTCTACATTGTATAAACAGATCAGTTAACCTACATTCTATCTCTACATTGTGTAAACAGATCAATTAACCTACATTCTATCTCTACATTGTATAAACAGATCAGTTAACCTACATTCTATCTCTACATTGTGTAAACAGATCAATTAACCTACATTCTATCTCTGCATTGTGTAAACATATCAATTAACCTACATTCTATCTCTACATGGACAATTAACCTACATTCTATTTCTACATTGTGTAAACAGATCAATTAACCTACATTCTATCTCTACATTGTGTAAACAGATCAATTAACCTACATTCTATCTCTACAAATGGAAGGTTAGTATAGGTCAAGAAGTATTCAAGTCACAAAGTCCACAAGTTAAAATTTTGTGAAGTCCTGTGTCAAACCAAAGTTTAAGAATTTTTCTTTAATGTTTTTTTTTTCTTTGAAGGAAATTTGAAATGTTGAACTATAAAGAAAATTTTAATGCTGATTTCATTGGCATACATTGATCTTAAGATTGCTTAATTCAATTTTGAATGTAACAAAGTAAAATCTTGTGACATTAACAGAACAATGTTGCCCATAACCATAGAGTTAAGTCACTAAAATGTTTTATAAGAGAATGAGGAATCATCAACAAGAAAGGATTAAGTACCTATAAGATGATTCATAGTTCCAGGTTTGTATAACTGTTCAACTGTAACATAAAGTGGCATAGTATTTCACTAAAAAAACAAATCTTTATCAAAATAAACTGCAAATTTCCAAAATGTATGCACTCTCACACAGAGGGTTAATTGTAACTGCAGTGAACTATGCATCACTGCAGTTAAGCCATTGTTCAACCATTTGACACTAATGTTGCAACAGATATATGATGGCCAATCTGTGTATATGCCTAATGTTGCAACAGATATATGATGGCCAATCTGTGTATATGACACTAATGTTGCAACAGATATATGATGGCTAATCTGTGTATATGACACTAATGTTGCAACAGATATATGATGGCCAATCTGTGTATATGACACTAATGTTGCAACAGATATATGATGGCCAATTTAACAGTTCCCTAAAGGTTCTGCTTATATACAAGCATTTAACTATATATATTTAACCAATATATGTAGAATTTATAAGGTCTCACAGATACTTGTGAAGGTAAACCACATGTAAAAGTTGCAATTGTGTGTTTGGTTTATCATTGAATTACCACAGAAAAACTAGACTTTCTCTTACAATGGGATTAGCAAACTTTAACTGATCTCTAGCTCTACTAGGAATTTTAGGATCTTCTGTAAAGTTTTCAAACGAGATCCAAAACTCAAGCGCTTTCGAGTAGTTAACTATTTTTCTTCAGAAGAAGAATAGTCAACTATTCTAAAGCACTCGAGTTTGGATCTCGTTTGAAAACATAATTATTAGTTTAATTACACACCTAGTAAAGTTTCTTCATTGCTAGATGTCTCCTTAGTAGCGTCTTGTTTCAAGTGGGAAAAAAAACCTCTAAAAATTAAAACACTAATTAGGAAAATAAACTTCAAATATTCTGCTTTAAAAAATGGTTAGTATTTTAATGACACTTTCAATAAAAGTTATCCAGTACTAGACTCACTTGTTAGTTCTAGTTTTAGATACGTATTACACGAAGTAACTTTCAGCTATTTTCAAGTTGGAAAATAAAAGTTAAAAACAAACTACCAATAAACAGCACAAATACTTTAACGAATACTTAATGCTTTAATTACACTCTCAATAATAGTTCTCTAGTACTAAATTGTCTACTCATGGCCTGGTGGTTAGGGCGCTTGACTCGCACTCTGGGTTCGAATCCCCGTCACACCAAACGTGCTCGCCCTTTCAGCCGTGGAGGCATTATAATGTGACGGTCAATCCCACTTTTCGTTGGTAAAAGAGTAGCCCAAGAGTTGGCAGTGGGTGGTGATGACTAGCTGCCTTCCCTCTAGTCTTACGCTACTAAATTAAGGACGGCTAGCGCAGATAGCCCTCGTGTAGCTTTGCACGAAATTCAAAAACAAGCAAACAAATTGTCTACTTTGTTCTAGTTTTAAGTCTGTAAAGTGCAATGTAGCTTTGGGCCGTCTAGCAGAACTTTAAGTGGATAAACAAATTAGAATTAAAAACACCAATTACCAAGTTACACTTAAATACTTTGCTTTAAAGTTTAGCTACACTCTCAATAACAGCTCTCCAGTAGTAGTTTGTATATTTAGTTCTGGGTTTAGATTTTATAATGGCAAATTAGCTTTCAGCCGACTACACTTAAATACTTTGTTTTAAAGTTTAGCTACACTCTCAATAACAGCTCTCCAGTAGTAGTTTCTATATTTAGTTCTGGGTTTAGATTTTTAATTAGCTTTCAGCCGTCGAGCGGTAATTTTTAATTTACAGTACAAGGAATTGAAAACGATTATCAAAGTCCACTTCAGATACTTTGCTCTCGTATTTAAACTCGTAAATATTCGTTAAAGTGAGGCATTTGTGCTTATCCTTGAATATATATCTACTCGAAAATGGCCACTTTACACTGAAATAAGAAATAAAAGCATTGATTAGGTAGATACACTTCAAATACTCTGCTTTAAGAAATTTTTAGTAATTCAATAGACTTCGAATAAGAATTCTCTAGTATTAGGTTGCCTATTTAGGTCTGGTTTTATATTTCTAATGACGAATTGTAACCTTGAGCCGTCCAGCGGCCATTTTCAAATTTAAAAAAAAGAATTAAAAACACCAATTACCCAGGCACATTTTAAATACTTTGATTTAACAAATACACAGTAGTTAAATTACACTTTCAATAAAAGTTCTCCAATGCTAAACTGTACTTTCTTCTGGATTTAGATTATTATGATCAAGTAAAAAAAAAGAGAATATAAAACTCCATAAGTAGTTTTACAACACTCCCTATAAACGTTCTATAGTATGTAACTGTCTATCTTGTTCTTGTTTTAGATTTCTAATGGCGATTGTAGCTGTTGTCCATCCAAGTGGAAAATTATTAAAAATTCAACAAGAAAAATTCCCTTTAAATACTTGGCCTTAACAAATATTTAGTTGTTTAATTACACACCGAATAAAAGTTATCTAGTACTAAGTGTTTTATTGTTCTGCTTATATAAGTATATTAGCGTAAGTAAAAACAACTATAAATAAAAACACCAGTTAGGATTGTACACTTCAAATATTTTGATTTAACACGTTGTTTTATATTTCTAAGGGCAAATGTAGCTTTCGGCCACCCAATGGCTACTTTTCAAGTGCCTCTTCAAATACTTAGTAGTTTAATTACACCACCGATAAAAGTTCTCAAATACTAGACTGTCTTAATTGTGGTTTTAGATTACTTATTGTCAATTTAGGTTACAGCAATAAAGCGCGATATCCAAGTGGAAAAGAAAAGAATTAAAAACACTTATTACCAAGGTAATACTTTGTAGTTAAGTTACACTCTTCATAAAGGTTCTCAAATACTAGATCGCCTCCTTTTTGTTCTGGGTTTAGATTTCTATTAGCCAAGGTAGTTTTCGGGTGTCAAGGAGACCTTACCAAGTGGAAAATAAAGGAATTAAAAACACCTATTACCAAGGTAATACTTTGTAGTTAAGTTACACTCTTCATAAAGGTTCTCAAATACTAGATCGCCTCCTTTGTTCAGGATTTAGATTTCTATTAGCCAAGGTAGTTTTCGGGTGTCAAGGAGACCGTACCAAGTGGAAAAAAATACGATAAAGAAATTGAAATTAGAAATGTATGCTTCAAATACCTTGGTTTAACAAATACCTAGAAATGTCAATAAATGTTCTGTAGTATGTGACTGTTTGTATAGTTCTCGATTTTTTATATCTAAAGACAAATGTACACTCGATCATACAGCTTCATTTTTCAAAATAAAAAATGCTTTAAAATTAAAATACACCAAAAACAAATACACATTTTAATATTTTGCCTAAACAAATAGTAGATTAGTTACACACCTAATTAAAGGTATCCAGTAATAGGTATCTTTATATATCTGGTTTTAGAATATTGCCCAATGTAGCTTTCGGCCGTTCAGAAGCTCGTTTCAAGTTAAAAATAAAACACCTCTTGGGAAGGTACACTTGAAAAATTAGGTCGTCAAGAAATTAATGTAAAAAAAACGTATATCGCGTATGATGGTTAAACGAACAGCCTAAACGTCACTTTAGTGTAGCCTATTTAATGTGTAAAGTTTAATATACTCTGATCATATTTGGAAATGCTGGAAACTTCAACGCAGGAAAGATGCCACGGCAGGAAAAGCAACTACCCAGAAAGGTTGGAACTGTGGAGAGCAAGGACATATGAGAAGCCAGTGTAAGAAGAATACCACCAATAAATCAGCCTTAAGGAAACCAGAAGTGGTTGGTGCTGAGGGACGCCCACCAACCCCTATTGTGAAAGTCCCAACAGCTAAG